TACTCCTAATGGAGCATGAGCCGCCGACCAGCATTCTCCAACACACTCTGTCCTGGGCCTTCTTTTCCAGTTTCATCCAATTCTTGTTCATTTTTCTCATGTCTATTTCCATTTCCCGGAGTAATGTGTTCTTTGGTCTTCCTCTTTTCCTTTGGCCTTCAGGACTCCATGTGATGGCTTGTCTTGTGGCGCAGTTGGGTGCTTTCCTCAATGTGTGTACTATCCACTTCCAACGCTCCTTCCTGATTTCTTCCTCCTCTGGGATCTGGTTTGTTCTCTCTAACAGGGGGTTGTTGCTAATAGTGTCCGGCCAACGGATCTGAAGTATTTTGCGTAGACAACTGTATTTTCTGGATGATGGCTTTCGTAGTTCTCCAGGTTTCTGCCCCATACAGTAGAACTGTCTTGACATTTGTATTTAAAATCCTGACCTTTGTGTTGGTTGACAGTTGCTTTGAGCTCGAGATGTTCCTCAGTTGTAAATATGCTGCTCTTGCTTTGCCGATCCGCGCCTTCACACCTGCATCAGATCCACCGTGTTCATCAATGATGCTGCCCAAATATGTAAAGGTTTTTACATCTTCCAAATCTTCTCCGTCAATTGTGATTGGATCGGTGCATACGGTGTTGTATCGGAGAATCTTGCTTTTCCCTTTGTGTATATTGAGACCTACTGCTGCTGAGGCTGCTGCTACACTGTTCGTCTTCTCCTGCATTCGTTGTTGCGATTGCGATATGAGGGCCAGATCATCTGCGAAGTATAGATCATCCAGCTTCATCCTAGATGTTCACTGTATCCCGTGTTTCCCTTCAGATGTCGATGTCTTCATGATCCAGTCGATCACCAGGAGAAAGGGGAAGGGTGAGAGTAAGCAACCTTGCCTGACACCGGTCTTTACTTCGAACGAGTCTGTGATCTGTCCTCCATGCACGACTTCGCAGTTTAATCTATCGTAGGAATTCTGTATGAAATTGACTATATTCTGAGGCACGCCGTAGTATCGAAGAGGCTTCCTTAGTGTTGTTCTGTCCACGCTATCAAATGATTTTTCGTAGTCAATGAAGTTGATGTAGAGTGATGAATTCCATTCAATTGATTGTTCCACAATGATCCGTACAGTTGCAATTCGGTCTGTACACGATCGATCCTTACAGAATCCTGCCTGTTGGTCACGAAGTTTCGCGTCTATGGAGTCCTTCATTCTGTTTAACAATACCCTGTTGAAGACTTTTCCTGGTATTGAGAGAAGAGTGATGCCCTTGTAGTTATCACAGTTGCCGAGATCGCCTTTCTTTGGTATTTTGACCAGAAGTCCTTCTTTCCAGTCTTTTGGCACTTGTTCCTCATCCCAAATCTTATTGAAGAGAATGTGGAGTATCCTTGCAGTTACCGCTACGTCTGCTTTCTGTGTCTCCGCTGGGATGTTGTCTGGCCCTGCTGCTTTGCCACTCTCGATTTGTCTGATGGCCATAGTGATTTCTTCAATTGTTGGTGGGCCAACATTGATTGGGAGGTCCGTGGGTGCTGCTTCGATGTTGGGTGGGTTCAGTGAGGCTGGTCGATTCAAGAGTTTTTTGAATTGTTCTACACACCTGTTTTGTTGCTCTTCAATGTTGGTGATTACCTTGCCTTCCTTGCTTTTCACTGGTCGTTCTGGTTTACGGTGATTTCCAGAGAGTTTGTTTGTTATGTCATACAGTTCTCTCATGTTTCCTTCTCTTGCAGCCTTTTCCGCCGTCATTGCTAGATGTTCCACATATTTACGTTTGTTGGTTCTGATGCTCCTCTTCACTTGTTTGTTTACTTCTGTGTATTTAGCTTGTGCCTTGTTTTTTCTGCTCTTGTTCGGCTGGTATTTATTGCTGCCTTCTTATTCCTCCTTTCTTGAATCTTATCCAGTGTATCAACAGTGATCCATTCCTTGTGATGGTGATTCTTGTGGCTCCGTACATTTTTTAGATAGGTATAATTCTTCACGCCGTGAAAGTGCACAGTGGGTCAAACGGAACCGGGGAACCCTACACTCCTTAATCGTTAACAGAAGAGATAAATAAGTTCATGATTTCATTTCCACAGTAGAATATCTCAGTTTATGTGTAAAACATATAAAACATTTAGAAGCTGCTTCCTTGTTTACCTATTGTTATTAACTGTGTTAGTTAGATTTCTATATCGACAGCTATTTGAAAAACATATCCCTATTAGAATAGTCGAGGTGAGTTCCAAATAATTACTTTTAAAGTGCACAGTGTACGTTCATTTTTTCGCAAATTACACATATTATAGACAAATTGATGGAATAGTAATTCTGTTCCTTATTATATCTGATCTGTTCTCTCGTTAAACCAGAAAACAGATTATTGAAAAGATTGACTAATATAGATGTTATGTTGATGATACACTGATTATCATCGGAGTGAGCAATGAAAAAGAACCCACAGGACAATTCACAGCGTAAATTCAGCAACCATTTTTGTATGTGAGAAGGAGGTGGCTGACGAGTTATAATTCCTCAAATTTTTGTTGAAAAACTGGATCTATCAGAACGAGCATGCATAGAAGAAGTTCATCTGAATGTCAGTACACACTCTTATTCAGCTTCTTGTTCATTCGTTACGAGAGAAACGTAGTTACGTGCTCCACAGTTAGAGCCATAACTATATGTCGATACGATACAACAAACAAAGAACCACGTTTTATACGTAATCTATTGAGTAAAATGTACCAGGATCAAAGCTTTCTGAATCAATACATGCACACAGTGGACAGAAAGATAGTAACATTGGCTTTTGGTAAGAAAGTTCTCTTCCTAAAGATACAATTCAACCGAAATACAGTCAGGGATCCTTTCGAATTCACTCAGTATTTCGTCTATTTCCTTTGAACATACATAGTGGTCTGCATATAATAGTTGTAACTGCTCCCAGCATTAACATATAAATGGTACAGAAAGGTGAATAACATCACAGACGGTCAGAAGCTGACTTCACTTTCTTTCGGTTCATCTTGACAATGGATATTTTCGAAAGCAAATATTTATAGACCTGTAATATGTTAAGGTGTTGGTAATGTGAATGATAGATCATATTACTTTTGTAAATATAATTGTATTTTATGCTTCTCATATGTTGATTAATTTCATAAATTTAATTCTCATTATTCTTCACGTAAATTGGCGGTCCTCTTCATCTTTCTCTATACGTACAGCAATTAGTTATTAAACGTCGCAAAGCAATGTTGCCTATATTTATTCATTCAGACAATTATTGAAATAAGTTCATCTGAAGATACTCTAACACGTTATACCGAAGCAACTCAGAGTACGCAATCCGATCACTCTTAGACTTTTTGTGCTAATCCTTACTTTACTATTATTTATGTCACTATTCTGGACTTCGTAGGAGTTTTACTACATGGTTCTAGACGTGAATGATACAGCCTTTAAATTTGAACATACTTCCTGTGAACTCTGTCTTTTTAAAGGTTTACTCGCGTTGTCATATATTCTACTTGTAATTTAAAATGATCGCCGAAGCATTTACTACAGAGGAGAACAAAAATGACAAAAGCATGTACAAGAATTCGACGAAGCCGCTGGTATTGCGATTTTCGACAAATTTATACTAACTTAGATGATGATCTGACATCTGAAATAATCAAAAATGGGTTAGTATTACGAAGTTGGTTTATCCAATCTGTTAATCTTTACAAATCTTCGCATTACACTAGAATATTCTAATTAAATTTATAACAAGACCTCAATAGAAGGCTCTCATAATCATAGAGGTTGTTTTGTTTATTTTACGTTCTCTGTCCTTATTCTCGTCATTTCTTTGTTTTGTGTTTCGTTTTATTCTAACTAATAATATTCAGTCAATAATGTATTCTTAGTAATTTATATACCCATGTTGTAGTGCAGTTTATCATGTAATATTTTAAAATATTTACATATACTTGTAACATTATTTGTGTTCACCATTATAATTAATTTCTCTCAGTCCCGATAACAGTTGTTCTCAGTTTTGTATGGTCGTTTAATCTTTGCTTAAACGCAGTGGTTTCCATATTTTAATGGTTGAATTGATGAGTTGATTTAAGCTAGACCATATTTGTTTGCTCTTAGTTCCGTGTTTGATTGTTGATAAACTGTTATCAAGATAAGACACAGCTCTCAGCTGTCATTTGCACTATTGTATGTCATAATCATTCTTTGTTATTAATACAGGGAGCCTTTTTCAGACTTACAGACATTATGAGTTCCATAGATATTTCATGAGTTGAGTTTTGTAACTAATGCATGTCTGTTCATCAATAATGGACCTCTTTCTAGACAAATCGCTGTTTTATGAACTTTGTTTTCGCGCGTAACTCAATTGTGTAAGTAGACCCTTCGATAGATTTCACAGAGGTATTGCTATCAAATGCAATAGTTTCTGGTGTTTTATTCTTAACATGACAAAATGAAAGCATTTGGGTGGAACCATGACTTATGGACGAACCAGTCAGATTTAGGATAACACGTCTCATATTTTGGCGCGAAATTCATTCGCCCATTTATCTAAATGGCGTCTTGGCATTTTAGCTGATGTCAGTTCATAAATCTAATTCCTAACCCTTACCATCAACTGTAAATCATAATTCCAATTCCTCTGACTGCTTTATAACCCTCATTTAGCCCTAGTAAGTAGGTGGACATTCCCAAGATCACTTTAGCGTTGCTCAAAGGTTGGCCATAAATCATAGTCTCACAAGCATTTTGATCAATATTGTTTGTTAGCAGACAGCATATTTCGCAATTAGATTTCCTGATATATTTGGGCAAATCTATACAATTAGGCAGAAGCAAGTCAGTTTTCGTTTAAGTATTATATTTCTCATCAATAATCTACGAAAAGCTACAATATTTATGATTAATCTACATTCTTTCGAAACAGTGAAGAAAATACACATACACTAATTCCTTTTCAATCATACTGTTGATTACTAACTTTTGATAGTCTTACCACAATTTACATTTCTTCAAAGGATTCATTGGTGAGCCAATCGGACAGTCATATGCTTTAGCAAATTCTTCATTATTTGACAAAGCACCTATCAGCCTGAAAGATTATAAAAAGAGAAATCAACACGATATATTTGTAAATAATGGAACTATTCGACCTAAATTCTAATTTTTTATAAAGATTACACACCTAAATATCCTATGTCCAGTCCTTAACACCAAGTCAATATACAGTAATGAGTGGTCTTGTTTTTAAGAAATGGTAGTTTTTCAGTGCTTTCTAGAGTTTCCAAGTTTGACAATCCATGATCAAATGCAACCTCACATGAAACACATATTTAGAAATATATATTCAAGTTAAACGTATCTCCACGAGCACGATGATAGTAATGATTACAATAGCTTCATTCAGAGATGAATTATGACTAGCAGTGGAGTCCGAAGCACATGAAGTGTCCTAATATCTAAGTGGATAACGTGATGGTGTTGGAAGCGACTGGTACTGAGATCGAGTCTCGGAGTGTACATCAATTTTGGGATGCAGATTCATCCAGATGACGACTCCGAAATAGGATGAAACGAGCGTCCTGGATTTCAATGCTAGCCACACCCATATCTGCTAATAATGCGTGTTACTAATAGTGATATCGAGGCAATGCGCACAGGATGAACGCACTCCAATAAGAGACTGATCAATTACTGTCCTAAAAATCAATGGGGAGATTCAAACAAGCGATACAAAAATGAATTTACAGCTTTATTCACTATGTCAAATTTTGTTGCCGTGACGAAGTCTCTGGATCAGTTGTACAACGTCACTTATTTTCATTACAGAGGGTTTTTGACTAGTTTAGGTGCTATAACTATCCTCTTTTTAATCGGATATGTCAGTATGTACGTTCTTTGTTTTGCCAGAGGTTAGACATGGGGAAAAAGATCACAAGTGCAGAGTTTCAGTTTGAGATTTGGCGCATATTGAATCGCTCTAGTTTGTAAGTCAGCCATACAGTTATTACTCGGATTAAATAAATCTAAAACAACAGGGTTTATTACGATAACTGAACAGTTATAAAACAGGTGGGCCAAATGTTATTGTGCGTGGTCAACTAAATTAAGTGACTTGACAATGATTTCCAAGTAAATCGATTTATGTAAATGGTCAGAAATGCTATTTCTGCATTCAAAATTACAGATCTATTTCTTGAAATAATAGGGTACTTGAAATTAAAATACCTTCTGACTGATTTTGATAGAATCCATAACTAATATCATAGTGTTACTAACTGTCAGTTTTATTCGAATTTTATTTTTGATAAGTATAATGTTACTTGACTTCCGAAAAAACAACCATCAAAATCGTACTTTGTTTACACATAAATTCAACAGTGCTTAAACCATTGTTGGTGTTATCACTCACCAGAAGTGTGGAATTAATTGCACCATAAGCATTCGGTTGCATACAAATTGTAACATTAAACAGTCATAAAACATGCCTTAAAATTTCCAAAGCTTACCTATATCGAGGTAGAATGTGATTAATGTTATATTTGTGGTACTGACGTGAATCCTTATGTACACGGCCACATAAAGTCTATATTTTTTAATTAAACACAGAATACAAAATAGCATGTTATGATATTATATTTGTTAAAATTCACATTACTAGTTATATAATCAACTAGGCATCATTGGTAAAATGATAGTTACACTATGGATTGTATTATTTGCTTCAATAATCAGTAAGTTGCTTAAAACACATTTTGAATGAAAGTATGTAAGAGATTAACATATTTCAAAAGACAGAAAACGCTTTTACTTCTGTTACCAACGAAGAACCATTCCACTTTACAATGATAACGATTTTAAAGTATCCACGAAACGGGATACCCAGGCTCGGTAGATAGCGAAAGTGGAAAATTTACGCTCATTGGTACTTCATTTGTTCCACTACCCATAATAGTCTACAAAAATATTGTTATATTTTAAATGAGTGAATAATTTTATTAGAAACATTTTATGGCTCCCCTGGTAATTATCAGGTGAAATAACTGATTGAAATGATTTCGAATCACTTCCACGGATTATTAAGTACAACGTTGATCATTATTAAAGCTCAAAGCTAATGAAAAAGAATTTCTTCATTGTTGTGGATGCGGAGGAATAGACCAATAATTATCATGTTAAGTCCAATGGTGTCCTTGGACTTTAAATGGACATTTCCTATTGGTCGATATCTGTTCACTTGTTGAATATTGTACAAAATGTTGTTTTCTATTTTATGGTACGATGTGGTATGCTTGATTGGTATATAAACAAAGTATGTTCGAAATATAATGATTCATATCTCCAAGGCTGTGACTTGTGTTCTGGACTCAACTGACTGGGCTAGACAGGGAAGCGAGACCAATCGAGACTCTAGGCCGTCCGTTCGTGTTAACGTGTCACTGTAATCGATCGATAAGTACACTGCTCTCTAATTTTTCCAGTCAAGGACACAACAATTAGCACAGGGTAGAAATCGACTCAACTTAAAGCCATAACATTCATAATTGTTAAATCCACATATAAAAGTTATGCTTAAAATCGGAGTGTATAAATACTTTTAGAGGAACATTTCGTCAATGGTTAACTTCATTCAAGAGAGAGTTTACTAAAGGACTGTTATTCAAGAGAACAGAACATTTGATAGAATGTTATTAATATATATTTGTCTATTCACTTGACACTGATTTAACCATGCTAATCTTGATTTCATTTTCCATTGGACTAAATATTCTGATTGAATACTATTTTCTAATCAACCTTTTGTTAATTTGATTATCTTACTTATTTTTTGTTAACTGAAAAAGCAGTTTAAAATAAATTGTGAAACATTTGAAATTCTAATTTCAATTCATTAATTTATCACAAATACACCATGATTTTATCATTACAAGCTTGTACTGTCTTCTTTGTATCCTATTTGAATAGTTTTAGATTTGGTAAATAAAGAAGGAACGAATTGAGCGAAGAAATTTCTTTTCAATTAGTTTTTCATCATGGCTCTACACTAATATATATACGTTTTACAATAATAATATAATACTCATCGAGTGGATACGTTACGTAATAATTACATAATGACATTTAAATTAACATTGATTAATTGGAAGAAAGAGGATTATTAATATTCAAAGTGATCAAGAAGTTTTAGATTTTTCACATACTAATCACTTGTAAAACCTTATTTATGCATGTAAATTTTAATAATTCCCACCTTGAATGCTATACACAAATAAGGAAATATATTGACCAACTTGCCTGTGCAAATCTCAGGAAAAATAATTTATCGGAAGCTAAGAGTTCGCTTGAATTTTGAACACGTTGTCTATTTTGCAATTTCCGGTATGTCTGAAAAGTAGTTGGAACAGTCACATGAGATATTTATCATTCATGACTAAAGTATTGACAATATCATACAAACAGTCAATCAGTGTTAACATTAATTTCAGTTGTAATTTAGTTCAATTAGATTTCTTTTACCTACTTGTGTTTATCTAGATTTTTGCTCGGATAACCAACTCATTTATCGTTATCAAATACTAAATTACTGGTGGATTGTATGACGATTAAGATTTTGAATGATTTGAAATATATATGTAGATGAGAGAGGTGATTTCCGACAGTGAATAGTATCAGACAATTGTTAGCTTTGAGACTGGTTTTCAGTGTTGTAATTAGGAGCCTGATCTATGAAGTTGGGTATGTTCGGAGTAAGGTGATCACAGAATGGTGATATCGGATTACTACCATACAAAATCATAAACTGGCTGGATTTGAGAATCGGTCTATTACTCAACAGTTCTAATCGTCATTGGAGAAAACAGATTAATGGATTTCCTATTTCAAAAGGGAACGCTGAGAAACATTCAATTTCTGCTTCTGAAACTATTAACTCGTGATCATATGCGTGTTTCAGACTGTTCATACTGTGAAATTGTGTTCCAATCTACTTATCTGGAATTTGATATGAGTATTAATTTTTACGGTAACACAATCAAACCTTATGTTTTGTAGAACCACACTACATCGCCATATGATATTTACATTTAATTTATTCACATACATTGTACATTATTTTCAATCCTCCATTGTCAGCCAAAATTTCATTCCGCGTCCCAATTCTATCGCTCTAAATAAGTTGAAGTTAGATAAAATGAGGAATATTTATCAAGGTTTATAACGAATTAAACTGATAATTTTATTTTGTTCTATTTACTACAACTGAAGAGACCACTCGGAATCTCATGGATTCACTGGACTCATAAATAAGTTTTCAAGATGAAAAAACCTATTCTGCTAGAACTATTCACAGTTTAATTGTTGTATGATCGAACAGATTATTTCAAAAAACAGCAATGGATTTGTACTAAAAATACATGAATCGGTATTAAATATCACAATATTTAATGATTATTTCAACCACAAAGCAGCGTGCATCGAATTCTGAATTAGGCAGTTCTCACTCTACTGTATACTCGTCTATAATGTTGATTTTTATTTCAATCAATTAATTTGCACTTAATATAAATGATTTTTCGCAGATACGATGATTATTCTGCAGCAGCAATTAAACAACACTGGTAGTGTTTTACTTTCAGTAAGCCATTCTCACTCACAAATAGTAACTTTGTAACTCTTACTAATTTCCTTAACTCAGCCACTTTTATTTGAAAGGCTCTTCTGAAAATTGTGAACTATATTATCACTTACCTTCATTGAGTAGGATTTGAATTTTCAGTATCTTGAAACTTGTTTTCTGTTCAAGTTATTCGTAATAGTGCTTACCAAGCCCCAACAAAACATGGAAATTACTCATTTATTTCTCATGCTTGTAAACATTAACACGATTTGAATGAATCTGTTCTGCGACAATATACACATGGATTACCGTGCGATCGATATTCCAGACTAGCTCTGGTTGGATGAAAACAGGTAACATGCGAACTTTCCTATGCGTGTCACGAACCTAGAAAAATTGACTTCGTCGAGGAAAAGTTATAACTTTGAAATGAATTCCTCAAGTAATCATTTCGTTTGGAGATAGGTTATGTATTTTTAAAACTCTAGATAAAACTTTAACTAAAATGCTCAGAATATTGAGTGGAGGTACATGAATTCAGAAACTTGCATGAATATTTCACTTTACTCAATCGTCCCTTCTGAAATTAGTGTTTTTCACTAGGTAATTATGTGAAACGTTTATGTAAATAGTAATTATCAGTATAAAGGCTTATTGTTCTGAAACACTTACCTTTTCAAACGAATCAGAATTAATTTTGTAATGAGATCGTAGACAATCTGTTTGCCTCATATTTGCAATCAATCCTGCATAAGAATCTTTACCTGATCGTTGATTCCCATTGATATCCTCGAGAACACCTTATATTTATATAGAAATAAGTAAATAGATTCAAACCTGATTCATTTTCATTTACAATGTGTTATTGAATGATATTCGAAAAGTTTAATATTTGTGGGAATTTCTTCCTCTTCTTAAAGAGTTATGAATTGTTTATACCTGCATTATAGTACTATTAGTAGTACATTTATTCGTCATTCAAAGTTAGAAATCTACATTCAGTGACAGTGTTCTCTATTTACTGACGTCTCTGAGCGTCAGTTTGTGTGAATTGGTAAATGCACTCTAATATAATTACACAATGAATGGTGTTCTAGTTAATACTCGATACACGAACTTATGTTAGATGAACACATTTGTTAAAAATGTTTTCGTTGTCTGATGCAACGTCCAAGCATAGCTAAATATTTTCTTATCTTCAGGTTGACGTTGATATGACTCATATAGAATGCTAACTTGAATGTACATATATGTTAAGTGAAAATTCAAGATCCATGATCACAATAAATGTGGTGAGAAAGATAATAGTGCAATTACAGTTCGATCAAATGTTTAGTGCAAAAATTAGGATGAATGCGAATTGAATGAATCATGTACTGGGGAAATTAACATTGATGTTTAACCAATAGTAATTAAATTAATACTAATGCTAGTACTACTACCATTACACTTGACTACGAAAGGTCGTAAGTAAAATGGTCAAATTAGGTCATTCAATAGCTCAGATTACTATTGATTGATTGGCTTTGAGGTTGGTCAAGGGAGGAAGAGCGGTTAAAGATATTTATTTTGTACATAGAACTCCGGTTTCTTCATCTGGATGACTACTACTTCAGCCGTTTGAAGGACAAGCTTTGGCAAAAAATTACTGACACTATAAATAATTGAAAAGGATTGGGTTATACTGGCACCATGACCAGTTTGTACTAAATGAGTATGTATCGAGCTGTCCACTTTCTTCACTAGACCTTTGATTAGCCACGCTGGGAGGTGTTCGCGAACACGAATATATAAGCTTCTAGAACTCCGACCAATATAACGTGCTCCATGGGAACTGATAAATACGAAATGAGGTGGTCGTTCTAGGTAATTCATCTTTTAGCTTCAGTGTCACCATTAGGCGCGTAGAAAACAGTGATCGTAGTTCTCCGGCGTTGGAAGATTTTCGTATTGCCCTGCGTGATTTGTGAGATAATATTTCGCTAGCCACATCCCCTCTGAATTGCAGGCTCATGAATATGGATTTCTTATTCACCTTTTGTATTTTGTCTATTCTCACTTTCGTGATCATATATTTAATCATAAACTTTCTAGGGCAACTGTTCTCCCTGAGAGTATTATGCAAGGTGTTTAGCTCATCTTCAAGTATATCCGTAGAACATATGGTGCGTATTCTGTGACTAAGGGTTTTGGTCAGGTTCCGTGTGTACTGTAGAGGTACAAAGTTAAGGTGATGCGTATACTGCTTAGTTCGTGTATTTTTTTCTGCTTAAGTTCCGCTCTCTTAGTTAAGAGAGCATCTAAAAAGGCTATTCGACCATTACTCTCTTCTTCAGATGTAAGCTAAATGGCTAAATGCAGTTCATTGAAGTGCCTAAGAACCTCTTACCGTGATGTATTGTCTTTACAGAAGATGAATGTGTCATCCACATATCTACAGTTAAATGTGAATTTTTGAATAATCTTTTTTTAGTGGACCACTTTCTAGTTTGGCTAGAAAAATATCAGTTAGTATAGGGCCTAGTGTTGATCCCATTGCAACACCATCTGTTTGTCTATATATTTCTCCGTTGAACTTGAAATTCACATTTATGGTGCATTTGAGTAATGACTCTTTTACGACATTAATACGAACTGTAGTTTCAATTTCATTTTCAATCAGTTGTTCATCTATATATTCTACGGTCTCTGTAAGTGGGACATTTGTGAGTAATGATGTTACATCCAAAGACATCATCTTTAGTCCCGAAGTACTTGCATTTTTGATTTTGTCAGCGAATCGGAATACACCCTTAGCACTATGTCTTACAACTACTTGAAATAGATTATATAGCTACCAAACCACTTAAGTGTGGTAGGTGGACCAATCAGTTTGCAAAATCACATAAACTCATGCTCTTCAGTGAAAACGGCGATAAAGATGTAATGTACTTAATGCTTCGTAGTTGAATTGCCGACGAAATCAAAAGTAACACAAATTTAATGCGTCTTATAAAATAAGAGGTCAGTCCGATCAGAGCATATTGTGAGTGTCGAAAAACAATCAAGAGGTCAAATCTCTTTGTTGTGGAATATTGGATATAAAAATAAGGTTAGGAAGAATGTCATCGATCTTTCGGTTTTAGATGAATATTATCTAACTGCTCTGAAAACAATTAACCTCAAGTAATCGGAGGTGATTGTATTTTATTGATCAAAATATAAAACAGGATAATTGCTTGTGTGCATACTACAATATAAAATACTCTCAGGCAAATTACCTATAAGATCTATAGCATGTAAAAGTTCGTGTGCGATAATCCAACCCAATCCATTGTATCTGGTGGATAAATCTTCATCCTTTTCATAAAATGGTGGTTGCATCAATCCGGCAAAAATATATATGCGGTTTAAATTTTTCAAATAGTAGGCCTCAGGTAAATAAGTTGGTGAATCACGTAGCGACCTAATTATTCAAAAATGAATACAAACATCACATAATAAATAATGTAGCATCAAACCTCAGATTGGTAATCAATGCATCAGTATGTTTAAAACAATTAGTCCCTCTGATAAATCTAGATCATGCAATGAGAAGACGAAGTCTATCAGAATTATGTGATATATTTGCGCAGTACATTTATATATGTGGTCAGATTGTTCGAAATGTATTGCTCAAATATATCACATAATTCTGATAAACTTCATCTTCTCATTGCATTATCGAAATGCATCATGATGTCTAAACACGTTAATAAAACTCAATTATAACACTGAAATATCAAGTATTCATGATAATTTACAAATGTAAACCATGATTGGAATAACCTATTTTAGTGAATATAGTGTTATATACTTGTGGTCTTATTACTATCAAATGGTTGTTTAAAGTACCACTCATTTATGTGGAATATCTTATGATTGATACAAGTTACCACTTCACTGGTTACCAAATATAATCCATTACGTGCGTTTTAATATCTGGTAGTTTGTTTCACTAGAAAGATGTTTTCATTAATATGTGCGATTTACATTGATCCATCTTGAATAACAGAGATATTTCTATAATGAGTCGTAATTCTTCGTTATTACAGAAAAATAATGCGAGTGAATTTCCTATAATGAAATAGTACATTAACTAAAGACATGTTTAACACAGTATTGAGATTGGATGAATAAGTGAATATTAGTTGTTTGAGACATAAGTATTCAGACAGTTACAGAACTAGTCATTTTGTCAACTTTTAACTATACATCAATAGCTGCATTAAATATGTTTGATGGATGTGAGTATAGTCAGTTCAAGTGGGATTTCCTCACTAACATTCTTAATGCAATCTACACTGTTAATCAGTATTTGAAAATTAATGTTTCTAAGTTATTTGTTTTTGAATGTTTTCTCACTACGTTTTTATTATTTGTTTCGCTTGACCAAAGAGAATCACTTGTTTTCGTCTGCTTACTCGCCATTTTAACTCACATTGCATTCTGAAAGTGAAGTTTTGTGGTTGTCATCAAAATTATCGGATGACCATGTCTAATCATCATTCGTTATGCATCGGTGTTTTATTCTCATGATTGTAGAACGATTGAGCTCACAATACTCAATAGAGTTATAATGTGTAGATCAAACGTCTGCATATTTACACTTGAACATTCTATTTTCGTGAAACAGCACTATGTAAATAGGTAAGCAACGTGAAGAAATTGTCTTTTTTAATTAGTTCTTTATCAGACCTCTACACAAACAAAAATGTTTTACAAATGAGTGAACAGTTGATACTAATTAGATGGTGGTGAATCAATTAGCCAATATAATAATCACTTAGTTACACAACGTTTGGAAAATGAAAATGAAAACAAAAGTGAATTTTCATAACCACTCAATTATTACAAGCAGTTACATAAGAGTGGGAACAAGACTCAAAATACAAGTGTTTTGTGTTAACAGTGAGATTAATGGTAAGCAATTGGTAGGATGAATTCGGTGGAAATTATATAATAAGATTTCCAAACAGGTTACTTAGGATTAGCACTAGAAATTAAAGTCTTAACAAAATCGATGTTCAGAAAATTCTAAAAGAGAATGGAAGGTTTTCAAACATGTCATATTATTTAAGTAGAAGATCAAGGTAGATTCAAGGGATGTATGACTTTTTTTCTGCGCAAAAAGGTTAGGATTTTCTCCGTGTATTTCTATGGCTTCTACTGTAAGAATCAGATTCTCGAACCATAGGGTAAATCAGGTGGGATTCTATAAATAATTCTAAACGCTGAACTTTTATTTATATGATGGGTGGGCGAGGAAAATAGTGATCGGTTGTTTACCTAGACAGACTAGTAGATGGCCTGACAGCTATTAGATTTGTTTTATGTTTTCCTACCCGTTTTCTTTTGGTTATTATTATTGTCGGTTGTTGACGTCGGAATATACTCACGTTATAGTCAAGCTAATCATTTATTCTTGATTACAGTTGTGTTGATGTCCTATAGAAAAGACACTGGCAGGGTATCTAGTGTAAATTTTTATGTAAGACAAATCAGTTTCCATTGGTGTTAAGGTGAAGAGTGAGCGTTATTACACTATTTGGTGATCAGTGTCAACTAGATGCATCAATATAGATACTCTTCTTAATTTATGGCCAAAATACAAAGTTTTAAACCACATAATGTTGAGTAGAAAAATGATGGCTTACATTTTACCAGCTTTTTTAATGCTTCTTCTTAATTTCTCTGAATATATGGATTTCTGTGCATAATACTCATTTAAAATATTATCTTTAGCATTTATAGGATACTGAAATTTAAGAGTTAGAATGATGATGATGAATTTACGTAGGAAAAATTAAGTAAACTAAGTGAAAAACTCGATTTATCAAATGTCATTTAAATTTAGACTGGTGTAATTTATCTTCAGAAAGATATGACACCGTGTACACGAATGTGTTCAATATTAATTTTATTATAATCACCAACTAACGTCATCTATAAAGCAGTTGAATCATGGAACCAAATCTTCAAGCTAAAAATAAGCTCTCATTTCTGGTGTGCACTTGGAAAGTTGTAAACATACGACAAATCATTTGTCATGTTATGTAATATGGTTTGCATTATTTCAAAGTAGTGTGAACAGACGAATAATTCAGCTTTAAATATGTTCCGGTATCAAAAAGTTGTAAACACAGCCGTTTAACGTGTACAAAGTAAGATTAATAATTATCCTAATGAAAGAATTGTTTCGTTTTCATCAAACTCACTCCGTATATTTCTGAAAGATCTTCTCTTCTTTCTGATCCATTCACATTCGAGTATAAAATGAAAGCCTTGGTTTGGTTAATCTATAACATGTATTAAATCGTTACAAATATGCCATTCTGATTAAAAATTAAGCTAACCTTGTCCTTGAAAAAGTGTTTTGTACTGTCATCCAACCATGTGGCTTGCGTGATTGATTCAAATATAGAGCTTTTCATTTCTTCAACTAGTTGTTGAACCTTTAATTGAAAGATAGAAATCTAGTTGAGAATCGGGTCTCATCAGAGGTGCTTCAATTTTCACCACAAATATATTTTGATTTCAGTAAGCACTTATCGCAGTTAAGGTTTACACTGGTCTTTTCATTTAATATCTAATGCTTAACACTTACAGCTGTCAACCCTCGTGGAGGAGCACAGGCCGTCCACTAGCTTGCTTCATGGAACTCTGACCTGATCAAACCTGTCTAGTTGTTTCAAATCGTTATTCATCCTTTTAATACCTGCTTCCAATTCCAGATACAGTGTGTCAATAAGTCTTACACTTTTCCGTTTTCCTTCAGAATCCCAAGTTAGGGGTCGCCTCATGATGCAGTTTGATGATTTTCACAGTGTACGTACTATCCACATCCAACGTCTTTTCCCAATTTCTTCTTCAGCAGGAAGCTGGTTTTTTCTCTTCCAAATTAAACTGTTGCTGATGATATCCGGTCGACGGACATTCAGTATCTTGTGTAGACAACTGTTTATAAATACTTGTACCCTTTTGATGATAGTTGTAGTAAATCACGAAATGTATTGAAGCTTCCAACTACCACATCGGCTGACAATTGTCTTGGGTTCCATATGTTCTTCAATTATAGAAATGCTGCTTTTGCTTTACCAGTTCACACTTTTAGGCCTGCATTGGATTCTCCTTCTTCATGGATTATGCTACGTGGAAGTTTCCACCTCTTCCAAAGCCTCCCATCAAGTGTAATTGGGTTGGTGTTCTCTGTATTGTAATTCGTGATCTTGCTTTTTCCCTATGTCAACTGAGGCCTAATGCTACAGAGACTGCTTCCACATTGGCTGGCTACACCAGCATTTGTTGGTGTGTACGGAATAGACGAGCTAGTTGGTCGACGAGGTCAAATCTACTAAGTGCGTCTAAGCCGTTCATTGTATTTCGTGCTTCCTATGAGGTGTAGAGGTCTTCGTAATCCAGTTGAACACCTGTAAGTCGTCAACGCTACATCACTTTTAGATGTTTTTTGAACGGATTTCAAAATTGTATTTGTTGTTAATCAAACTAGCATATATACTCTCAACGAATAAAAATCTGCTGAGCGTGCATATGATTTAGTACAGTTCCCCCAACTGGCACACAGTTATGTTAACTTGAGAGGTAATTATGAGTAGAATATTCTTACATAAATATATCTTTATGCAAAATGTCAGGTGAACAACAGTAGCTGACTTTATGCAAAATGTTCACTATTCACACCATGAAATATCTGTTGGTATTAATAACCTGACTTGAGTTGAATGGTACCTTTTCAGTGCTATGTAGTTGTCTGAAAATAACTTCTGAAATATCTCTCCTTCAGTTTGTGGTTACTGGTTTCAGTGATTACTTCAACTTGAGGATCCGTATTGAACATGTACATGACTATCTGTATTAAACACGTAAATTAGTATCAGTATTGAACAGCAATTTGTGTTGCTTGTTACTGTTAAACTCAGTAAGAAATCAATGACTGAAATTCTACTGAATATCAGTTACAGATCATAATGTAACACATATGATCGAAATTGGTTGACTTGTAGTTCTACGCTTAGTCTGAAATATTAAATTAAAATTTACAGTGATAGGACGACCGTTTGACAAGCTGAACAAACCTCATTTCGGTGGTTTTGAGTGATGCGAGAAGTCAGGAAATGCTTTTCAAGTGTCCATGGAAAAACGATCTTTACTCGATCCATACAATAAGGTGAGAAGTATGTAGTATTGCCTAATCATAACACAAAATATTGGAAAGCATGAAGAGTTTATTGAATTTATAGTAAGTTGTTTTAAAAATATGCATATGATATGTACGGTAATCAATTTACTAACTGAATTAAATCATGCAACTATAGAGTGATTCATCATATAACTGAGGATGTCGGTGTAACTTGGCTCATAATAAAGATTTGATGATATTATATTCTTTACGTAACATTCATCATACTGGTGTATTTTATTAATTCTATAGAATCTTCATCTTAATTCAACTTAAAAGCAGATCCGATTGAAGAGAGAACGCATTTCGTCTATTTGACTATCTACTACAGAACTAATTCTTAAGGATATTGTTAAAGCATGGCGCGCATCAAACTAGACATAATTGTTAAAGATGCTGGTAATACGTTTGATGAATGAATTTTAACAAAATAACAATAATTATACAACATTTTTCAATTCACTTGGATTTGATTTATATGCGGAATCAGAATTTTTCTGAATTAATAAACGACGTTCCTGTTCCGCCAAAAAATTCAAAATAGCCAGGTTGTAGAGCGCACTTTGAGAAGATCATTGAAAATTGAAACAAAGCAAAACAATCATTATTGTTTGACTGCTTATCAAATGTGATTATCATATTATATTGTCCGCCATAAACTTTAATAACAACCAGTTCTATGAAAAGAACAATATAAGTAAATTCACTTCTTCCGGTTTCATTCTCTACCCTATCTCAACATAATTCCAAATTTTAGAAATGGATGACAGAATTGGTAGTTCAAATAAATGCTTTTTGTTTGAGCGAATTTGTCTTATTTGAAAATTTATTTGTGGAGATTTGATTGTCACTTTACTGAGAGTATATGTAAGATTTTTAAATTCACTCAATAAGTAGTAAATAATCAAATTTCTGAGGAGCTAATATTTTATGTCATATATTCGTGGGTTTTAATACCTTAAAGTAAGTTGCATTTCTGTTGACTGTTTTATTCAGTTGACTTCAGACCATGTGATTGGATGGTCTAGTCCTCATGGGTTTATATCCGTAGATATGAGTTGGACTCGAGAAACATTTATTTCAGTTAGTGTCACTGTATACCAGGAGACATTGAACAGCTGGTTTAGTCTAACATGGACTGGTGAACAACAAAGACCGACGACCATACCAGTGATCAAAACCGGAACATCCATATTTCGCCAAAGATTCCCAACCATTCGAACAAATGGAATGATCCCTGACGACTCATTTTAAATGTACACTGATGAGGTGTCCGATACCATAACGAAACACTTATCAAGTTATCTTTATTATTCATTGGTACCCCAAACGAGAACGATTCCTGACAAACACAGCCTACAAATAAAATAATTTACCTGAAACCCCTTCGAATAATCTACCCAGATATACTTAAAACGCCACTTCAGAAACATATTAAACGGCTTAACATATAGCCCATTCAAAATAAAACCAGTAAATTAATTCGTGAAAATAATTAAAGTACTTAGAATGCTTGTTGAACCCTCAATATATGCAGACTTTATTCGCTGTTTATAGAATTTTCATTATTTTAGGTCAAGCCAAAAGATATTTACATTAAATAATCTGAGATTCTCAACAAAGATTGATTCATCCACTACTGTTTGACGTATCTTATATAGGAAATAAAGTATTCTCTCAGAATATGACAGATTTTACATTACTTTCCACAATATATGCATTACTGACGAAGACATTATCCTTGGAAATTTCAAATTAAAAAGATTTCAATCCATTGTTTATAAGTGATCATCCAGCATTGTCATACTTGATCACTACTACTGTCTTTTGATTAATTCAAAAGCAAATAATCAAACAAAAATTCAATTTCAGCAATTACCTTTTGTCTTCATCTGTTTCCAATTGAATTTCATGGAATGCACAATAATATTGTAATGCATGTTTTTCTTCAACCTTTACTGGTAATTTATGGTAGTTTCTAAATCCAGTTTGATTGAACAATTTGTCAAACAAATAATCCCAATCGATCTAAACAGACAGTTTTGTAAATTATCAAAAGTTACTTTCAACAAAGGGTTCAATTTCGTCATTATGTTTGTGATAATGAAGAAAGTTGACAATCCTCACCTACTAAGATGATGTAAAATATGTCTGATATTCGTAAAGCAGTATTACTGAATTAGTACTCGAGTCAGTATAATGGTGAAATTGTCTACTTATCTAATATTCTAGACTTTTACTAAATTTTATGTTAGGTCCCACTACTGTCTATATTGAATTCTATCGTTCATGTTGTTATGCGGCTATCAGTCCAGGTGACTCGACAGTGTGTGCACGATATTGAGATGTAAGCTCGTTTGACGTTAGTTTAGAAAGTGTGTAAAGCATGGTTTAACTGGTATATGTCTAGTTGATATGGGGAACCATTTATATGCCTTTATATCACAAAAACATTAATTTTAGTTTGGTGTCACCGAATAATCTATCAAAATAACTGGTTTCAACCTTTCCTCTCGTGGTTTATTAGCATCAGTAGAAGACTTTTTTAATTCGTATGCAGTTTAAAACGATACAAATGAATTTACCGGTGGACAAATGGCCTTTAGTTCATCCATGCTAACCGTTTGGCTTTTTTTATAAGTTGAGGATGTTTGTGGATCCAAGAAAGCCTGAGAAACAAAACCAAGGCAACGATTAAATACATGAAAATAACCAAACTCTAATTTGTGCATGATACAAAACATAACATGCATTTATTGATGAAATGAGAATTTTGTAAAGCATGGAAACATAATTTCTCAACTAATAAGTGTTTTAAATATCTTGTTTAAGTGATATTAAGTAATATTAAATAGTAATACACTGGTTGCATTTTCAACAGCTTGTGATTAACGTGTAGGTAGGTTGAAATAGGTTTTCACGACTAGCGTTTGATTATTTCTGTCAGAAACATTTCAAGAGACTTCGGTAGGTATATAAAGAAACTGAATATGATATTTTAATATTTTTGCATGGATTCCATGGAGTGAGTTTGCCTTACGTAAGTGATTTTATTGTACCTACTGAAAATAGAATAATTTTTGGAAGATATTTTTCATTACTGTTATGAGAACCAACCAGTGAACCTTTTGATTTGAAACGACAAAAACCTACGAAATACATTTGTCCGAGCAATTAGTTTTATCATCGCTAATATTACTTTCTTGTGAGCGGAACGCTCACTGACCTAGAAAAGCCAGATGAAACATAAATTCCAGGGTTTGGTGATTACGTATACTCAGTAGTCAGTGCACTCTCAGGTGGATGAGGGGATAATTTACTGAGCGGAATGACTACTGCTGATGAACCGTAGTAGATTTGAGGTTAGCATGATATCTGTTCACTCTTCAAGTAGTGTATACGTTTCGGTATGCTAATATCGAACCTAGTACATTCAGATTTCTTGGTGAATAGGTTATGTTCATAGTACTGAGTTTGGTCTACGCTTCAAACTTTCAAGAATCATTTACTGTTGAGTCATCTTTTATTTTCATTAGTAACAACTGTCCGATTGAAGTAATCTAGCTTTCAGTTCACAGTCATATATTGTGTTTAGTGAATAAAGGACTCATAACTTGTTATCAATTTATATTTCTGTGTAATACAACTCGACATTCATGTGGAATGTATAACTTACAACATGTAATATTCAGCATCACATATTAGAAAGTAAGTCATAACAAACATTAATCAACTCACATTCACTAGGCGGTCAAATAACTGAAAAGTACGTGCAAGCTTTGTGTTCTGTGACATATTCAGATTTAGTGAAATAAATGACTTATAAAACATGATCTTCAGGTCTAGCATTCCATCCTATTTGAAAGAAGAAATGCAACATATTATGTTATGAAAAGAGGATACAATGTTGCATTTATTGTAAAGGTGATAATCAAAACATAATCGAACTTTGATGACACATTTGTGATACATAAGTGATTTGTCATGCTTATCTTGGCAACTAGAATTTCTGATATTTTCGATTGTTGTATGCATATAACTGCCTAATAATTATAAGTTTAAAATGAAGAATCAGTTCCATGTAACTATTTTGTTCAGAGTGGCCACATCTGTTTTCTCTGAATAAATAAGCGTGTTATCAAATCCAATCGGTATTGTATCACCCAGTTTAACCCTTAACAGTGAATAAGGTAGTGATACTATTTAATGTCAAGTACTTTGTTTCGTGTGATCTCGTACACTGAGAGTTGTATGTTTTGGTTCTGCAACTCTTATGATCCCTGTGGATAACATCACCATAATCTATTTCGGACAAACATTCAGTAAAATAGATGATTTTAGATGATTTAAAACTTATTACACACGTAACCAACTAAAACATCCATTCAAATCTCATTGTTTGTGGATGATTGTTTTTGTAGATTTTGTTGACTTCCTTTGCTTTTGGATTACACTGAAAAGCATTTTCCGTCTAATTTTAGACTATGCGACAAGTTGAACATTTTTGTATAAACTGAATTATTTAATCCATTGTTCTCTGTCTACCAAAATATCACTCTATTATAATTCTCTGACATTCTTAGGACGTTTCCATAGTTGTATGTATGCTTTCATAATAGTGATAGCAAGTAGTGTCATTTCACTGCTTGTTAACTCTTCTATAAGTACAAGCATTAGCGGCATCCACTTTGTCTGATGTACTTCATCTCACAGTTGGTGCAACCTGACATTAATTTATTAATTTCACCTCTCTATCGTTTAGGTTTGTGTAAAGTCAAATGAAGTATATTGAGTTGTTAGTGACTTTGCGTCGGGTGATTTCTAGAATATCGGTCACACAAAATACTTTGACCGAAATGTTGTAAAATTATGTGAGATTTTGGAGGTGGCCTGGTTTTTATTGCGCCAAATATTCTTTTTTGTGTGTTTGTAATAACTAAGATCGTCTTAATTTAATTTAGGAATTTTTGGCTCTCTGAATATTTCACTTGCATTAAGTCTCAATTCGTCAGACTTTCAATTTTCTACTCAGTGTGAAACCGTAAAACATGCTATTTGAATATCATAAAATAATGTGTGTTACGATTTGTGAATTTCTGTAAACGGAAATATAGTACAGTCAGATTATTGACATTCATTGAATGTGTTTCGTGAATGGTAATAAATAATACAACGGACAATGAATTATGTTCCGGATCAGTAAATTTAACATTGAGAGTGACTAATATAATCTGTAAATTACCTTCTCCAAGAGATTTTGATCTGAAGTTAGCTGACCTGGATAGATCTGATAGAAGTAAAATTATATTAGAATTCATACAGATTGCTAAAAATGTAACACTATAAGGAAACGTCTGAGTTTATCAACATTCAAAATATTATGAAACACATAGAGGAACACAGTTCCAAAAAACATTTGGAAGGAGACTGGGAAAGTGAGAGTATACAGCATAATGGTTAGCATTTATCAAATAACAAAACGTTCAGCCTAAAATACTCAAAAGACTAACTGGTTTCCCATATCGTTTACAGATATTCAGATGCTATCCGAATTTTACCATATTCATACATATTTTAATAGTCGGGTATAAATTTAATGAATATTTGCATGAACTATCTACTTCTCAAACGCTTTGCTCTGTGGTATTTCCGAGTCATTGGAATTTCGAAATTGTTATATGTGAAACAGTGGTAAACTAAATAATGGTCAACTCGTTAGTAGTATAAGGTGTATTCTCGGAAGATGTTGTGGTAGTAAGGAATGAAATTAACGATAGATTCCAAGGTGTGTTTCTAATTAAAAAGAGGATTTATCCATCCATGTTCTAAGACGAAATCTACTTTATTCGTTACAAATAAATAAGGAAAGGCATTTTTAATCGACTACTTGATTATAAATTGTTTGTTTGATTCAAGTTTTTGAATTCGACAACCAGACATCGACTTAGTTTGCTGCGGAGTAATACAGAAGAAGTATTAAATACAACAAGAAACGCCTAATTACGTCTTCCTTGTACAATAATTTTTTTCGGTGCTGTGACTTATTACTTCACTTTATGTGTTCGCTATTATAAAGTGTAAATAAAAAATTACAATGTTATACTGGAGTACTACACGCTTCCTTAACAACTGAAATATTAACACCAAATAATTGGATTGTTAATCACTATGGAGAATTTCTACTTAATAGTGTTGATTAAATGAACGGTGAGGTAATCATTAACGGTTAACCGACATCTCGCACATTATATTTTGATGTTATGTTGTTGAAAATGACCATCATGATGCCGTATACCTTGTGTTAGTTGATACACGTCAACAAAACATTTTAGCTTTCATGATATCAGTGATTTTCCTTTTAAAGTTCGGACCAGTATATTACGATAAAATATTGCAAGAAAACCTGGAGATTCACAGTTCATGGTTTGCTTATCACAACTATGTTTTATGATTTGTAGTCAGATAATATGTATTATCAGGTTACCATGGTATGATTTTTTGTTTTAGTAATACAGTCATACAACTGGATTGTTAAATTAAGGATGATGAGATCTGTTTTTTGTTTACATGTCACTGACGCAAAACAATCAATGAAAATCAAATTCGCAATACCCATTTAAAATTGATACACTGTTTTTTAAATAATCACTTATTGTTGGTTACAGCATCCTCATAAACAGCAAACCTCATACAATTTGATGTTCAAGTTATGTGATTTGGGAAACTAATCGGATTTCTAATTAATCAAACTATTTCGTTTAGTTGATATAGATAACCTACTGTAGTGTTGTTTCACTTGGCACTGTGAATCCATTGCATTACTGGTTGACTATTATGGCTGAATGGTCGCAGTGTCATTACTAAGCTGGAATACTATAAAGAGTATTTATTATTTTGGTCAGTTAGATGGTGTTTAATTTTGTCATTTATTTATTTATTACAGTCGAACTGCTATCCATAATATATTTTGAAATCAACTTACTCGAATTGTTCGATCCTCTTCGTCGATATCCAATGAAAACAAGGGTGAATGCCCTGTTGTGCTTAACAGTGGTAGGTATAAATCAGTTAAACTCAAATTTAGAATATTTCTAGCACCATCAGATGCATTTGTCATATTTGTTGAAGGAGATGTCAATAAATCCCATTCACCAAATAGCTTCGAAATTAACTGACGAAATTGATTTGCAACATGATTAGCGGAATCATGAGGACCTTTTAAACAAGCTTCGTAAAATTTGCGAGCAGTAAAAAGGTGTGGATCATCCAAGGCATATGACTTGTTAGCTTAATTTGAAAAAGTCGATGTTTGTGAGAATTGTGATTAAGGAGTGAAATAATCAAATAGATTTACAAATCACATGAATAGAGACAATCTGGAAGAAGTTACTCATCATGTAAGTAAACGGAATATATCCACTGAGACACAAGGTAAGTATGGTTGGTTCAACGAATGCATTTTCAAAGCTGTATAATCGCAAACGTGTACTTGTTTTTCAAAATGATAATAATTACAATAATAGTGACAATAAAATTACGTTAATCATTGTAATGGTGAAGTAGAATAAACAACGGTATAAAAACGTTACTTTAATCAGGGGAAACAAATAATAGTTTTATTGTTAAGGGCATGAATATTTATTATGAAGATGGATAGGGAAATTATAGTTGGGAAAGAAAAGATCAGCATGATAAGATAATACTGTTGTTTTATTTACATCACTGTTACCACGTTTAACGGAATATTAATATCACTATTATTGTAATTATTATCATTTTGAAAGGTAAGTACACATTTGCGGTTGTACAGCTTTGAAAATGAATTCGCCAGAAACAGGACTCTTCGTTGAACCAATCTTCCTTATCTTATAGCCTAGTCATGTTCATACAGTTGTACGCCCAACAATCATAGTTATATTAAACTTATTCGAGTACTGTTGAATGTGAATTCTAGATCACCTGCTAAAAGTAATTGTGTATGAAAAGTGATTTAGAGAACATATATGCAGTAACTCGTTAGAAAGCCTACAGAATTATGCGATTCGATTATGACTAATTTTATTCGTTTGATTTATCACACTCTATTACGAATGTTCGAATTAGGTATACAGTACTCTGATTTTCAACAATTGTCAGTCACAATTCTGTTCTTGATGTAAATCCGTTAAATTCTTATTTAGTTGAAAAGTCCATCACTGCTCGTCAGGTGAATCTCGGCTACTTGAAGTGATTAATTTCGTTTCAACCGTTTACATGATATCATTTCATATGAAAATAATAGGAGAATATAAATAAATACAACCAAATCATATTGTTAGTAATATGAAAATACTTGCCAATGATATTATAGAAGTAATGGTCAGTGGTAATTCCGGACTTCTTAAAAGTGTTAACCTCCTGTTCCTTATTCGATACTGGATTGTTTCTCACCCACTTTGTGCAAGCGTAACGATCAAAATCATCACATGGATCCGTAGTATTCAAACGGGTGGCTACATTCTGACTTGTAGTCTCAGATAGTGATATTACTGTTAGAAAACAAAATAACGTCTTAATGGAACACTATTTGAGATTGAATAGAAAGATTTACATTATTACACAAATATATTTAAACGTTAGTCTAGCTTTACACAAATTGAACCTATCACCTTAGCTCACAAAATAACATCGGCACAAATTATTTTGATAACATGTATTAGTTCATACTGAGTAAAGAAATTCAATTCATCATGGTTTGTATTATCCTGTTGTTGGTATCTTGACTAAATCTTGGTCATTGTTAGTTGGGATATGTGGAACCGATATTGAATGTCTTGATATCGACATTATTTCACGGGTTTATGTAGAGATGGGATGTGACTGACATAGTAATCGAGGACGCGTGTTCAGGATCCTACTGTTAGTCACAGTTCATATTATATAAAGAGATATTTTTGTGACATTATACAGGTCATCTTAATCATTTTGATTTGGGTTTTTCAGGTGGTTATGTTTATCCTTCACCAGTTCCACTCTATTCGCAAGTACAAATACAAAACGGTCAATACAATGTGAAGTAAAAGTGATTTATTTATTCGTATTCCCATAATAATGAACAATCTCAACGCTAAAAAATTGAAGAAATTTGAAACAATTTGTGTTTAACCTCAAAGTTAGTGTTTTGATTACATCGTCTTCCATACACATGACATATGTTCTACGTTGACAGTCCATTTTCCAACTGGTATAGACATCGTGGAGAATTGGTCCAGGTCCCATGTTCTAAGTCACACTGTTGCCACAGTTTATACCATTTAAAGAGATACTTTTGTGACAAATTTTGTTATGATTGTGATCTTTACTTCAACCAGATATAAAGGGGTCGTGAAATCCCAGTGCGAAATTGCACATTCGCCAAATTATGACCCACTGACATCTATAATTAATGAAGATTCTACACATATTGCTTCAAATAAATCTAAATCTGTCCTCTCATCTTTAAACGAGTTATTATTTTTATACCATTAGTCCATTGTTGCATTACTAGCGACAAGTTCATACCGGTCTTGATCCACTTTTACGGTTCACAAATTGTTTTACGACAACATAATAAACTATAGAACTTTATCGATGACTAGGATATTCCAAATGCAATCTCTTCTTGACGGACATGTACAGCCAAAAGCATTAAAAAACAATACACAATGTGTATTTGTGTTATTTTCTTATGAATGTTCCATTATGAATGTCAGACATTAAAACAGATTAGAATAGTTCATTACAAAATCAGTTAAATGATGTGATTATCTATTGTACGTTGTCAGTGGAATATGGAATTTTTGTAGTTAGAGTTTACTTTTTCATTATCAACTAAGGTACCACATATGATCGACAAGAGAATGTATTCTCTTGATTTCTTATGGCACAAAGGGGCTTATCCATTGACCATTTGATATCTCACTAACTACCTTCATGTCATCGAGGTAATCGTTGCAAAATAACAAAAACTGAAGCGCTGATCTAACTGGAGTGGATAAAAACTGGGGGATATAAATTCTTGTTACACATGATTAGTGCACATATGCCATACAAATATGATAAATCGGTATCATAAAAAATTTAGTTTTTTAACTAATCCCCCTTACGAGTTACATCACATAGAAATAAAATGAATAGGTCAAAATCTATAATACGATTTTGCTAGTAGGTACACATACTCATGTTTGTGTTGTGAGATCGCAATACGAATGTCAAACAGTACAGGTTATATGAAATATCATTTATGTTTATTTTGTTTGGAAAACATAAATTCACAAAATCTTGTGCCATTCTACAAGTCCATTATGTCGCTTTTCCTCATGTTTAATGCTTAATTACCTACCCATAAAGTGAATAAGAAATTAGAGAGAAAACTGCAATTATTGGAAACCTCAATTGCAATGACTGGAGAAGTGTTCTGTTAATAAAATTGACTATGTTACACTGAACAATTAGGAGAGATTTAAATTCACCGTTATGTTTTGGTTGCAAGCAAATACCACTTATGTCATAAATATGAGACCTATTTGGATGTATATACAATCTATTTCATTGTAATACTCGAAAATTTTTTGAAATACTCAGCAGTAACGCAAATACTAGAATATCATATTCAGTGAGTCTTGAAACTCCACAATTATTTGAATATTGTTACATCTTGTTCCTTATCAAAAACAACTATATTTAACGACTATACTTTGGTATTTTGGGTTTCGTTTTCGTCTATACAACTAATATCACATGTCTATGTTTCTTTTATTCAATTAATTAATTTTCCATATTTTCGAAATAAACTTATACTATCCATATGATCGTTCTTTCTAAAATCACCTCTCTATTACCTCGTTTTATATAACGACTCACCAAGCAATGCAGTTTTGTAAACAACATCTAAACATACTTCCATCCTAATGATGTTTGGTGAAAAGATAACATGCACGTAAGTTTTTGCATATTCTGTGTTCAAAAACAATATTATATATGCCAACTGCAGACAACAAAATTTTTACACAAACTAAATTGCAATTCATTTTGCAATAACTCAACATGCATTTTCATCGAGTTTTTATTTATCATAGTGTATATTGTCAATGCTGTGGTAGTTTACACAATGACGTTATTGCTATTCAGTGCATTACAACATAGGTTTCAAGATAATAAGGATGGTATTTATGATATATGACTGTAAAGCAAGTATTAAAGTATGTTGAATGTTAAAACAGCTATTCGCAAAAACTTAATTTCTACCTAGAACCGTACTGATGACGACTACATGAAAATTAGATTTATGAAATTTGCAAAAGAAAAAAAAACAACGCAATTTACCATGACAACAGATGACAACAAGGTGGATCATCACTGAAATTGATGTGATTATTAAGACTAACTGAAATTGTTTAACTTTACCATATTGTATAGCGGTTTTCACTGTAAAGTAACGTTGATCAGTAGACATACTGTCTTGTGTAAATTATTGTAGAATATTTTTTCTGTTGACACCTATTCTTCTTATTAAAAGAGTAACAGTTGTCACTAAATATATACTAATTTACAAATTGAATTTCATAAAAGATTGGTTGATAATGATAATTATTATATTAATTTTTTGGTAAAAAACAAAGGAGATCTTATTAGGTGAAACGAAATTGAAGTAAAGTTATGCAATTTAGTTAGCTGTACCCTGGATTATGTTTCTTAGAATTTAACCTTCATTAAACTTAGCATTCATAAAAGATTTATAAGCTTGTGTTAAATACAACTATTTCTCAATTATTTTTAAAAACTATAACACTCTTACTTTTATTTGATCTTGATGAGGTGAAGAATTGTAGAGAAATCTTACGTGTCATATTTTTTCTGTGTATACTATTTTGTTATCTTATAACGGTTATAGACGAAAATATCTTCATGAAATAATTGTTAAATGTAAAGAAACGAGATGTTATATGAGTTTCATGTTGACTACTTGCTTTCTTTATCAATTCTATCCGATATAAAATGGACTTGATTTTTCTGAATAATTCATTTGATTCATATGTGTACTGGTTTTAGTTCTTTAATCTTCCTTCTCTCTTTCTTCTTTGAATATTCTGATATGTCTTGTCAATTTTTTTTCCAAAATCCCCCTCGCCACTGATATGTCATGTTGTTTGAATGCCACTTGTTATGTTTGGTCGTCGTTGATTGTTGTGTCGTAAATGCTTATCACTTATACTCGAAACGAGGAACCTCCGCAATTCCCATGACGTGAAAGTAAGAATACAATGACTGGTATAAGTGAAGATTTATTAACTCCCAAAACATGATGCTGACGACGACGACCTTAGTCGAAAATACACTCATTTGTATATTCATTGTACGCACATTTTGATTAGTAAGTATGATGAATTCACATATATAAAAAGTACACAGTTATAACAAATCAAATGCTGAGCATAGTTCATGTCAACTGAACACACGATAATCGTATGTCATACAGAATAAAATATCAAACGAGACAATAAAACAAATACTACATTGAGTAATCATTACATTGAATCAAAACGGAAGTAAACTGGAACAAAACTCATAGTGAGTAAATCAATTGAATTTTGACTTTTCTTTCCGTCATATGATATTCCAAGTTAGGGCTAGTCTTGTTATACAGTTTGATGATTTCTGTAATCTGAGTCCCCTCCAATTCTAGCTTCTTTCACTGACTTCCACTTCATCTAGAAGCTGGTTTGTTCTTTACCAGGTTACATTATTGTTGATTGTATCTGGCCGACGGATATAGCATATTTTGCATAAACAACTTCTTGTAAATACCTGTACCTTGTGGGTGATGGTTGCAGGAGTTTTTGGGTCTCAGCTCCATACAACAAAACTGTCTAGACGTTTGTAATGAAAACTCTGAGTCTAGCATTGTGTGATAGCTGTTTTGGTTTCCACATATTCTTCGATATAGGGTTTCTGTCCTTGCTTTCTCAATCACTGTCTTCATATCTTCATCACATTGTGTTTGTTTGTCAACATTATTGTCCAGGTATTATGTTGAAAACTGTTCACGATACTGGTAGTAGTGTGGTACCTCTGTGGTCATCACACGTGAAAAGAACTCCTTTCTTTGATATCATCACGAGATATCCGTCATTCCAGTCTGTAGATGCCCATTTCAGTCATACGATTTGGTAAAGCCGATTGGCATATTTGAACACTCATCGATGACACAACTGAAGGGGCTCAGTAGCTGGGTTAAAGAGGAGTGGTTATTATATACTACCTCGCCTGACACCTCTGTTCATTGTGAAATACGAATCTGTTTCAATCAAATATTCTTTTGATCACTCAAGAAGTCTTTTCATATTTTCTTTTACATTTTTGAGTAAGTTCAGTTCGTTTAAAGTCTTCATGACTAGTTCTGTTGGTATAGTGTCGAGCGTTTAAGTTCCATAAACAGATATATGTACAGCAGTGGTTTCTGTGTTTAGTGCACACTGAATTATATGTCTGATAGCAGTTATTGCTTTGGCTGTTGAGATGTTTTGTCTCAAATTTAAATTGTGTCAATGGTAGTTTTCTATGAAGCCTTCTATCTATTTGGCCATATAATATAACGACATATATTTGACCAATGGTATTTGGTAGGAAAATGCTTCTCTTGCTATTTTGGTCCTGTCTATTCCCTTTGTTTTAATACAAAATTTATACATGATGATCGACCCAGTGTTATGTGATGGCGAACGAGTTTTCCCAGAATTCATTTATTTTATTTAGAAGTATACATTTCCTGCTCTTTATATCATTTCGGCAGCTATGCCATATGTTTCTTACCACTTTGTTACTTTGTATTCCCTTTAGGCTTCGTTCGAGATCTCCCAATGTCAGGAGAGTGTCATTTTCACTCGTTTTATTATTTCAATGTACATCACAGTTTACCTTTTCAAGTAGTTTCTGATAATGATTTCCTAATGTCACTTCATCGATTACTTGTTTTACTCCTCCACATTAACAGCTTCTATTTCTGACAGTATCTAGAATAATTTTTGTTCCTTAAATGCATTATGACTATCTTGCTGTTGGAAAAGCGTTTCAAGCACTCCCATTTTGTGATCAGTGTATTAATCTTTTGCCTTCCATATCATTTTAATGATCTCATTTCCTATCTTGACATCACTTTCAATGTCCAAGTTTGATCTTCGATAATTTCCAGATTTTCTTTGACGACAGTTTATTACAAGGGAGATCATAACGTGTAATGCACATCAAAACACAAAATTTTTTACATTGTTATATATATTTTTAGTGGTGGAGAATAATGTCATTACGTTGTCATAACTCAAATGATATATTACAATTCTGGGACGATATCTGTTATTATTTGTATGATTGAGTGAGGAATATTTTACAGTTCAAATACTGTTTTCACAGAAAGTCAAATATACTATTTCCCTACATTGATACATCTGCTATGATTATCGAAATAAACAATTATATTTACCAACGGTATTTCTATCACAAAAAATTAGGTTGACTTTAGACATTGTCTTGACAATAAATTTTTTATTCGTTGTCTGATGAAAAAGACTTCACAATTTATGGTATCTGTGAGCAGTTACCATGGGATTTGTTTCAGGGATTCAAGACAATGATTTACATTCCATTTGAGAAACGTGCTTCTTGGCTGAATACGAGAAAAGCAGGAGAACAATAAACGATGGTTAGAAATGGCCATGTTGACAGATTTACTGCTTAAAGACAAATTTTACCATCAACATTGACGGATCGACTTACATCGATCCGTTTCATGAAGTTGAATGTCAAAAGGAATGAACGAGGTGATTTAAATAGAATAATTAATGAAAATCAACCAATCAGTCTATAAATACTGAACAGCAGCAATCAAATAATAATAGACGATCGAATTGACTGTTCTAATTTTTCTTTACAAGTCTAATTGAACTAGGCCTAAAATTTTCACTGCGTTCATCGTATTAGTTGAAATTATTATTCAATGTAAGAATAAAAGTTAAAACAATTATACGATCTTGATCTTTTCATATATCTTAAGATGATATTTACTCAAAGTTTGAATAAGGTCACTAAAATTTAGAAATATATTGGCAGGAGTTGTCTAAAAGACCGTCAATTTTAATTAAGAAAATAGATCAGAGAGAAAAATGTGATCCACACAAAAATGATGTGATCCATTTTGGTTATAACTACTCAAAAAAACGAACAACATTCTACAAAAATGTCTCATTTCACTTACAACTATAACACATAGACAATGAACCTTTCTTAATTATTGTAAAGGCAGATGAAGTTACTACAAAAGTAATGAGACATTTTACGCTTAATAATATAGCTACCCACATTTATGGCGATATCTGACTGCAGTTAACCTAGTATTTCTGATGATATGATTTTAGTTAACCCTCACTTTACAAATGAGAATAAATAGGACATTTTTGTATAAAATTTCTATCAACATCATACATACATAAATGAACAGGATATCTTTTTTATGGTCGCTTCGATGTCCCGTTGCTTCAGGGGAGATGGTCTATTTAAGAGCCCTTTACAACGTCCAAACCACTTGTTCTGCTGCTCTTAAAATTCGGTGACTAGTCTTCAATTTTTATTCTCGACTGATAGCTCTGGTTTTTTGACCTTCCTAACAAGCCTTTTTTTCTTTTATCACATAGTTCTTCTCCTCAGTTATCTCTTGAAAGCAGCTTTGCTGTATCTACCAGATATTTTTACTAATCAGTTCTAATTCTTTTCTTCACTCTTTTATTTACTTCAGTATATTCGGTCTGTACTTAGGGTTCCTCTGCTTTTGTTAGTGCTATTGACTGTCATGTTTTTCTTTCTTGAATCGAGGTCAGATTATCCACTGATGCATTCTTTATTCTGGTACCATTT